ACCTGTGGCCTTGCTACCAAGTTGACACCTGTGCTTTAGCCGTTCCCTTTGTCTGGCAACTCTGCACATGCACACACTGGGAACAGGCTCCAGCTGTTCATCTGCCTCACTGATGTCTGACTCTGAAGGCAGCTGATAGCTGTCAGATGGCCCTGGCTCCTTCTCTGCCTTCGACACAGAGCCCTCATCAGAGCCTTCCCCAGACTCCAGGACTGGCCCATCTTCCTCCCCAACCTCCTCACTGTCTGAATTTGCTGGCCACTGGTGAGCCACAACAATATATTAGCATACATTAGCTGAGTGTCCCATCCTACACATTCTGCAGATATTTTTGACCAGTGCCTGGAATTCCATAGCAACAAGACCACTGCAGAGAATCCTGGGAGTCAAAGTCCATAGGGAAGGCACGTCGGGGAAGGCTGTGTTTAGTTGTTGGGTGTTTCATTTCACTTAAAAATGCTGTGCGAGCCTCACAAGTGTGACCTGAAAAATCCTGTAAGGTGTGTTGTCATCTGTGGAAAGCACCCATGGTTCCAGATATCGAACTTCTACGAAGTCCCAAGGAAGAACAATCATCAGAGATAGAACACAGAGTAATCTGGTTGGAAGGGACCTTGAAGGTCTTCTTATCCAACCCACTGCTCAAGCAGGAGAGCCTATGCCATCCTGAGACAAATGACTGTCCAATCTCTTCTTGAAAAACTCCAGTGATGGAGCACCCACAACTTCTGGAGGCAGGGCGTTCTCACAGTCAGGAAATTTCTCCTTCGTTTGTATTTACTCCTTAACTAAGGAACTAAGGCCTTCCTTCGATCACCCTGAAGTAGGAAAAGCAAGAGGGCTTACCTGGAATGTCTCCCCATGACAGGTCTGCAGGAATTGGACTTACATTCACCTCATTGGCAACTGGAGATGGCACTTTGTAGGTGGCCAGTTCTGAGTAGGCAGAATCCTCATCTAGCATGATGACCGGGCTAGGAGGCAACCTCTGATCCCCAGGAGAAGGCCCTGGATGGAGTGGGGAAGTCGCCAAGGGCAAGTAAAGCACATTAGGCTTCTTTGGGACAGGAGGTGGGACTTTAGTTTTACGGCTCTCTCCCCCGGGCACCGCCTCATCAAAAACCTTGGCCTTCGTCTGCTCATCCTCCTCCAAGCTTTCCTCAGAGAGCCTCCGTGCAGTGGAGAAGAATGTCCCTGTGATGCCTTGGGTGGGAGAAGCTGCCCCCTCAGCAGAAGGGGATTGTGTGGGGCTCCATGTGCTGGCCCCCCACAAGTGGTCTGGCCTCCTGGCCATCATATAAATGTTCTCTGCAGGGACCAACTCCTGGGGTGCCACCGGAGAAGTCGGGGAGCTCACAGGGGACTCCTCCTGGACCGGTGGCGTTTTATGCAACAGCATGGGTGGCCTTCGGGAGAGGGGTGGTTTTTCTGCCACCGGGGGCCGGATCTTCTTGCCAGGTTCCTCAAGTAGCTCCAGACTGTCCAGGTTATCCTCAGTCTCGGATCGGCTGACGGAGCGCAAACGGACAGAACGCAGATCTAGCTGGGTCACCATCGGCATCACTGGCTGCACCGGGCTCAGTTTGGGGCCCAACTTGGCTCCAAAGGTAGAATCCGAGTGGTGTCGGCTTACTTTGGCTTTGCTTTTGTGTGTGATCTTCAAGCCCGAGAGGTCCAGATGTGTCGGCGGGGCAAATGGCAGGTCAAAGGAAAGACGAGACTTGGGGCTTCGCTCTATGGGAGAAACCGGAGGTAGGGAAGATTTCCTCTCCGGCACGAGGGGCCTCATCCGTCCACTCTGGTGAGGAGCGTGACCCAGGACCACAGCTGTAGGAACTGTTGGGGTTGGCGTTTCGGATTGACTGGAGTAGCCGCTGGAAGGAGACATGACCCCCGTCAACCTCCCCGGGGAAGAGGTCTTCAAACTCATGTCGGCACAGAGGTGAGATGGGGTGGTGGCCCGGGAGATGGAAGGAGAAGGGAGGGACTCAGAACTACCACGTACTTTGGACAGTTCAATGACAGTGGTCCCAGTCGCAGTGCTGGATCCAGACAAAGAGCAATACGGATCCCCGGAATTCCATTCAGGAACAAAACCCTGCTGGACGTATGACCTGCTCTCCAATTCCCTCGCCGGGTCCCCTTGGACTTGGTGGTGGACCTGGGCGTCAGGCAGCAAATAAAGACTTTTGGGTCTCTGATCCTGGGGCAGTGCCTCACCGCCCTCTTCGGTTTCACTGACGTGCCCTTCCTTGATCAAGGAGACGCTGCGGGTGGGTGGACAAGGTTTCTTCTTGGCCTTCTTGAGGGAGATGCTCTTGGTCCGTTGTCGGCGTTGTTTCCGGGCCTCCTGCTCCACAGCCAGGGAGAGGTTATCGGTGCTCGTGCTCCCTTCTGAACTGGCGCTGGGATAACTAAGGCCACAGGTCTCACTGCCCCCAATGTCCACTGAGCACAGGGAGGCTGTGTCCGTAGGGACAGAGAGCGACCTCTCGCGGAACCGGCACATGATTCGTTCCCTCTCCAGTTGGGAAGGTTCCTCTTCGCTTGTGTTGACAAGGGCCATGGGGACTTTGAGGTCTCTTCTTCCACACCTTGAGCTTCCTTCAGCCTCCAAGGGTGACTCGGGAGAAGCGCAAAACGTCCCACACTCGTTGCTCCCAGATATATTGTCTTGGCTGATGAAGAAGGAAGATGGCTGATTGGCCTCTGGAGTGTCCCTAGGTGTGCAAGGAGACATCGCAGAGGCGCTCTCTGCTGCCACCTGGTTTTGACTCGCAGGCGAGTTGGTGTAGCAGAAGGAGGATGTGCCACAACCAGGGGAGAAGACGGAGTCCTCTCTGGGGCCGTTGCACAATGGGCTGGCATACATCACCTTGGAGTTCTCAGCACGGCCTGCTTGGGTTTGGCAACCTCGTCCCTGTAGGACCCCTCCAAGATCACTGAAGGTCTTTCTCAGCTGGGGCCGGGAATGAGGAGAACGGGCTTGGCGAGTGGAGCTCCTCCCATTGACCACGTCAGGGACAAAATTGCAAGAGATGGACTCGGCTATGGTGGCCGGTGGGTTGAGGATGGGCCCATTGCTACTTCCTAGAGGAGAGTTAGAAAGGCAAGGATGAAAACAGAGTAGAGAAGCTCTCCTTCTTGTATGGCTCCTGACTTAGATCAGGGGTGTCCAACCTGGGTGACTTTTAAGACCTGTGGACTTCAACTCCCAGAATTCTGCCTGTTCAAGCCAGCTGGGGAATTCTGGGAATTGAAGTCCATAGGTCTTAAAGTTGCCAAGGTTGGATACTCCTTGCTTAGATACACAACATAGCATTTTTTTTTATAAAAAAGCAAGACCCTTCTTTTCAGCCTCGGATGTAAAGATAAAGCTTCCCCTCACACATATGTGCTAGTCGTTCCTGACTCTAGGGGGCGGTGCTAAGCTCTGTTTCAAAGCCGAAGAGCCAGCGCTGTCCGAAGACGTCTCCATGGTCATGTGGCCGGCATGACTAAACGTCGAAGGCGCACGGAACGCTGTTACCTTCCCACCAAAGTGGTTCCTATTTTTCTACTTGCATTTTTATGTGCTTTCGAACTGCTAGGTTGGCAGAAGCTGGGACAAGGAACGGGAGCTCACTCCGTTATGTGGCGCTAAGGATTCGAACTGCCGAACTGCTGACCTTTCTGATTGACAAGCTCAGCATCTTAGCCACTGAGCCACTGCGTCCGTCTATCTATCATCTATCTATCTATCTATCTATCTATCTATCTATCTATCTATCTATCTATCTAT